ATAATAGATTTCCAGAGTAAATACTCTCTACTGGTAATATTTCTTCCCGTACCCGAGCACAGTACATTTTTAAGGCAGTCCCCGGGTGACAACCAAGACCGAATACTAGTGCCCGAAATACGCCTCAAAAACCGGATTCCACATCGCGCCAGCGTTCACTCGCGACTCGCCATATAATGGGCTCCCGCTATGGGAAGGTGCGGCTGCACACAAACAGATCGGCTGCGTGGTGAATGAGGTGTGAACTGGTGTCGTCCTTTTTTGTGACATGCTTGGCTGAGGATGAAGGTCTCGTACATGATCGACTAGCCACCTTGCCAATGCATTCTGGTTGCACACGCCTTTCTTCAATAAGGTCCGTCCTTCCGCCTGGCTGCTTGGGTGTTCGTTCCGCAAGGTATGATCAGGGAGGGAGGTCGAAAAGCAACCATGCGGAGGAATGACCGGTGCACACCCCTTTTTTGCAATATTATATTTATTCACTTACTCGAGTACCGGTATTTATCTTTCACTTACTGTACAGTACTAGTACTGATTTATTTATTCATTTATTATTATTATTTTGACAGTACAAGGCTATACCATGAATTTATGGTACAGAGCAGGGATCAGAGGCTAGAGAGCAGTGGTACAACGCTTGCAAGCGGTGTACCATAATTTTGTCCAAATCAGACCTCTTTAATCCAAGATATTACATGAGAGAAAATTCATAAAAGTCCAAACCCTCCATAGAACCACTGAAAATAACAAGGACACCATTTCTATATAAAAATATCCACTCAATTCCCATCTTCTCAAGAGTAGTATACTGTTGAACATTCAAATTCCGCCAAGACACACCCCCCCAACTAAAAACAATAGTCTTGGCACAATTTAGAGGAAAGCTTTATTGCTACTACTCCTCAAAGAATTTATATCATTTGAGGTTTCAATTAAAGTAAAGTAGCCTACATCCTTTCTGAGCATCCTATGAAATTATCTTATTTTTAATTCTGGTGGTGGTGCTGGAATAAGTATGTGAAATAGGTCATTTATAGTGTAAAATCTGTTGAGGGTACTCAAACACATACTTTTTCAAGTGTACCAAAGTTTCCTTCACAACGGAGAATGACCATCCCTGCTCTGTACCATGAATTCATGATCTTACCTTGTACAGGTTACAGGCAAGAGGTATCCGTACTGTGCTCGTGCAGTCCTCAAGGCTAGCTCCCATTGAATGGTATGACCTCGGAGCTAGCGGGGAAGGGAGAGATCGTAGCACGCATGCTACCGGTACTACTACCCCTTGCCCACCCGCCCCTCCCTACTCCCGCCGCGATTTTTATCACTGACGGGAACAGGATGGTATTTGCACCGTACTAGTACTTGACCATTTATAAAGTATCCAGACGCTGGGCGCCCATACAGGTGCTAATAATGCCAAGGTGTCCGAATACTTTATGAATGGCCAAGAGCTGTGTTCAGGGTAGGGGTAAAAGTATTGGGACAAACTAGGGAGTTAATGTCTGTGGATTTCGTTTGGAAAAAGAATTATATGCCATTACAGGCTAGTACCAGCATTATCCGCTTTCCAATATAAGTACAAGTGCCATGGGTAATGTTTTCGTACAAGGGTTGCCAAGTAACTAGTAGGATGATAGGTAAAGAGAGCAAAATTCCAAACACCAAGACATAGTGCATCGTGACCTGAGAAACACCAACAGAACACCTAGTTAGTAAAATCCTGATTTTCAAAGAAACAATACCAGAGCTCCTCCCAGTGAAATAGATAAAAGAACTGAAGATATTATAAAATAAGAGAGTTTTTTTTTTTTACAAAACAGAGTACGATATGGCTCCAACAAATCCATTATACGATCGCCTTTGGGCAACAAATTCTTCTTCCTCTATTAGTTCAATTAGCTCAAGGACTCTTTCTCCTACTCCTATTCCCCAGCCGGTTTCTGGAAATATTATCGTGGAAAGAATAGTGATTACTGGTTTACTGCGCTCAATAATCTGGGGCTTGAGGAACCATGCTACATGGACATTTCGCCACATTGCAGAGGAAATCAGCATTGCAGCCAGTACTGTATTCTCTATATGTCAGGTACCAGCAACTCCTCAAAAAAACAAACCTGGCTGACCAAAGATCTTGACCACTCCTATCCATAAAAGATTGATTGCCTTTGCAACAGCAAGCCAAAAGAACCACTGTCTACCTCTGCAAGAGGTTGCTGAGCTAGCAGGAGTGAGTGCTAGTTTGTATATTCTTCGAACAGCTTTTGCAACTGAAGGTTACCATAGGCGTGTTGCTCAAGCACGTTCATTTCTATCTATTAAAGCAAAGGAAAAAAGACTTGATTGGGCTGAGTATTATGCTGACTGGACTTGGGCTGATTGGCACAAGGTTCGTACTTCTTTAGTCATATTAACTTAAATGGTTAAATAATATTAATATATGGTTGATTAGGTGATTTGGAGTGATGAGTCCGCTTTTAATATGTGGAGGCTTTCTTCTAGTGGTCAAGTATGGGTTACTCGGCAGGCAGGAGAAGAAGATATGGAGGATTGTTTAGTGCCAAAATTCAAAAAACTAGAAACGGTGATGGTTTGGGCATGCTTTAAGGGACAGCAAAACGGTCCACTAATTTTCTGGAATAAGGAGCAGTGGGGCAAGACTATTATGGCAGCCTCTTTTACTTCTCATATAGTGCCACATTTTCACCAATTTTGGCAGGAGCAATCATGGCTTCACCTAGACTATGTCTACCTCCAGCAGGATGGGGCTAGTCTGCACCAAGTAGCACATACTCAGAACCACTTTTGGACTCTTAGTATCTGGTGATATTTTATTGATTGGCCCCCATCCTCTCCTGATTGTAATCCAATTGAAAACCTATGGCGAACCTTATAACAACGCATTCACCACTGAAATCCTTTTCCTACTACCAATGAGGCTCTCTGCACCGCTATTGAAGAAAAATGAACAGCTATTACTCTGGATGAGCTGGAAGCACTAGTAGACTCACTTCCAACCTGCCTTTGTGAAGTTAAAACTTCCCTTTTCCTTTTCCTCTCTTTTCTTATAATACTGACTACTACCTTCTACATAGGTTCAGCTTGCTCAGGGTGGCTATTCTGGATACTAGGGAGGATGTCGGGGTAGTTCTGCTTTTTTTCTTTTTTCTTTTTCTCTTTTTGAGTTTTCTACCATTCTTCCGGATACTGCTTGGTTTGCTATTTTTTCATTCTTTTTCTTATTTCTCTCTACTTCCACTGTATCCTCAGGTTATTGCTTATCTTTTCCTTGGTTTAAGTTGTTTTTTTAAGCCTGTACTCATTGTACTCCGTGCTTGTCCAATTGTCCTCTACTTTCCTTTAGTTATGTATTGATGTTCTTCTACGCAATCAATTTCATGTCTTAAACATCCCTGCAAGCTAAGTCTTGTACGAAAACATCCGCCATGGTACTTGTAACTATGATAGACCACTGTTCTTGTTACAGAACAGGAGAGAACTAGTAAGCTTTGAGGATAGCTGTGAAACAATCCTCCCACTTTCCTTTTGCTATACACACAGACATTTGCACCGACAATACAAGTACTTGTACATACCCCTGCCTCGTTCCAATACTACATCCCTATTCCTACTCCGAGTCCTCGTCCAGTACACCGTGGCACCGTTGTCCACGGTTGACCGCCTCATCGCCAACAAGCTTGACTGCCCACCGATGCCTAAATGATGCCCTTATTATAACAAAAAAGTGGAGAAATACGGGGGGGTAGGGGATTACGAGAGGAGTCGCAATTCTGAGAAAGGGAGAGCGAGAAAAGTCGGGGCGATTAGTGCACGGGTTTCACTCCACCTCCCGCCTGCACCTTCCCTTATTTATTGTTTATTGTTTATTTATCTTAGAGGCACTGCACGAGTACTAGTACTGTACGGTACTCGTACTGTACCGGCATTCATTTTCGGGCGAATTTTTTTCTTTTTGAGATCGGTGGGCGCGTCGGGATTGGGGATTGGTTCGTTTCGTTTCGGGGGAAGTCTGGGCACTCGGATACGAGCTACCGGTACCTCCTGTGCCCACGGGTCGCGCTTGAGCTCGCTAAGCGCATGTGTGGCGCGGATGGATTTGAGCTGGTGGCGAGACATCACATCTTGGTTGCAACTAATTTATCATACCGGTCATATCCGATATCTCGTTGCCAACCCGGGCACCGTGGGTGGTGTTGGCGCAGCGGCCATGGGCGCTTTTCCATGTGAAAAATGGGAAAAAGTAGGTGATGGGCGAGATGGAGTGGCTACCGTATGTGTGGAGGGTAAAAGTACTACTGTATACTCGAGTAGTCTACCAGGTACAAGCACAAGAAGACTAGGGGTACGGTAAGGTGGTCATTTCTCTCTATTCTCCCTCCCAATAGACAGAAGAAAGAGGTTCGGCTGGATTTGGTTAGTGATAGCGGTAGCCAGTTATGGGTCCTCCACTGCATAATCCACTGGGGAGGTCGAGCGAAGTTGCGGTGGGTTGCTATATGAAGCGCGGGTTTCTGCAGACCATGCGACAAGTACGAGTACATGGTGCATTGCGCACCTGGAAAAGGGAAGCTGTGGAATCCCTGGCTCGTCTGTTCAATTTTCCTACCTGCCACGATGCACTCGAGCATGACGCTGTACGAGTACGGTGCTCGAGAGTCTTATTCAACACATCCATAATAATATTATCATAGTGTACTCTACCGGTATCGCCCCCCTCAACCCGCTCGAGTGCTCTTCTTATGATAGTCTACCGTGCCTACCGGTATTGCACTCACCCTTCCCCCATCCGGGGCCGTCTTGTGTGGATGGAGGCTTCTACCGTCGCATCGTGGGTTAGGCTAGCGGTAGGTTACCTCTCTCGCCCTGTGTGCCTACAGTAATACCGTCGGTAAACTGCGTGCGTCGCGGCCGGCCAGCCAAAAGAAAAAAAACAGGGTGTCTCCCTTCCCTTCACTTACCCGCCGCCCGATTTCACCACCACCACCACCACCATCACCACCGCCGCAGCCAGCACCGTACTCGAGTGCTGTCTGATAGAACACTGGCGAGTTCTGCACTGTGTGCGCTCAAGCACTTTCCCATCTTGTCTGTCTGTTGTCGTCTGTGCCTCTTGACCGTTCGATATTATCACACTTCTCTCCTCCTTCTCGCTTTTCCCCATTTCTTCCCTCCACCGTGCCCCTTCTTCCCCTCCTCCTACCACCATTTCGTCCTCCCATCCGACCCGTCTTCTCACTACCCTATCGTTACCACTGGCACCCTACCCATCCACACCCAACCGAATCTTCCCGCCCACCATCACGAGAACCACGAGCAGGACGAACTTGACGACAAAGCCGCTTACCGTGCCAAATAAAACTAAAATATGTGGTGATATACGCTCTCTCTGCGCTTAATCGTTTTCCCCTGCTTCGATCCCCTTGGACAATTGTCGTCTCCTCCTCCCATCCCCAATTCCCCGGTCGACTTTACCCTTTCGGGTCGCTCTTCCCATACATATATAATACTGTGTTTGCAATTACTTTCTGGGGAGGAAGCTTGGTCCGGGCGTCGAACAACAGCGGGAATTACGAGAACAGTGGCTGTGAGCGAGACCATTTAAGAGGGAACAGAGCCGTTCAGTCGAAACTCCGAGTGGGGGGAGGAAGAGGAGAGAAAGAGCCGGAGTTTTTTTTTTTTTTCCCTTTTGTCCTCGTTTGGGACGACCACAGTCAGAAGTCTCTCCTTCGTCCCTACGACATTTTTTCCCCTCTTTTCCCTGCGCTATCATACTCTGATCTCGCCTCGGCCTGATTCCTTTGTGGGTGTGTTTGGTGTGTTGCCCTTTTTCACGCTCATCCGTCCTCTTCCTCCGTATCTCTGTATCTGTCAACCTCTTCCTCCCTTCTGGGCCAGTCGTCTTTTCTCCCGGTCGCTTGGCCCAATTCTTAATCTTTTTGCACAGGGTGGCAGCGAAGCGACCGGCAACCAGCAACTAGCTACCCACCCCATTGTAGGCAAGTATTTCCCTCTTCCTTATTTCCCTTCTGCCTCTGCACCAATTCCTTCCCCCAAACAATCCATCCACCACCACCTCCCCCCTTCTGTGTCTACCCTCGCCCTCCGCTCTGCCCTACATCACACCTCAACCGCTTTTGCTCTCTCCGTTGTCTCGGCCATCCTTCTTTTTCCTTTATTCTCCTCTCGACTCACTCCTCGCTCGCTCTTCACCTACTCCCGTCACCTGTCATCCATCTCCTTCCGCTGTTCCATCCTTCTCCCTCTCTTCTCCCCCTTTTCCCTCGTAAAAGCTCCATCGCTCTCACTTCCTTGTGCCATCATGTCCCTTCTGACCCTTCACCTATCTTGATCAGACAGAACTCGCTCTTCACCAAGCGGCCATCCACCCCAATCGTCAGCCGTCCACCGCGTCCAAGCATTTCCCTCCTCACAACACCTAAATGGACAAGAACCCGGTATTCAAGGAACTCCTCACGATCCTGCCCGACTGGTCGATTCGGCTTCGAGCCATCTCGGATAAACACATCCAAGAGGCACAACAAGCCCAATCATCTTCATCACCACCCCCGCTCCCGCAAAATCCGCGGAAACGCGCTGCATCCGGTCCCGAGAAGGATGACCCCGTTCTCTCGACAGCGCCGATAAACGCGGCTACCACCACCGTTGTAGGCCCTCATCCCTTGCGGACAAATTCCCCTGCTGTCGAGAAGAAGCTTGAGTGCCTGCCCACTGGAAAATCAAAGATGGCGGCTAGGCCGAGTGCCGCAAAGCAAAAGTTCTCGTCAATAAATGGCCCCCAAATTTACTACGATGGTGAGGCTCAGCAGGCATTTTACGATTGCTGGACCACCCTTAATTCCAAGCGGGGATTGCTGAGGAAGGAGATGATGACCATTAAGAGGAAAAGGGTCATGACATTACCGACACACAACTACGGTTACGATGATGACTCTGAGGAGGAGGGATCCGATAAGGACTCGGATCAGGGGCCTCAGGAGACTGAGGAGGAAAGGCTGAAGAGGGAGGAGGAGGAGCGGAAGAAGGCTGAGGAGGAGCGGTTGAAAGCGGAACGGGAGAAGAAGTCTGCCGAGATTCTGGAATTCATTGATTCGTGTCTGGAAAAGGCATCAAAAGGATGTGAGAATGCTGCCTTCTTGTGGCTGAAAGGGGATACCTGCAGGGGTCACATCGCCTTCATCAATACGCGAATGCAGGAGGTGGTGGATCGGATCAATCTAGAGATGGATAGGGCGAAGCCAGTCGAACCTCCTGCTCCCGCTTCCGTTGTTGAGGATGAAGGTATCGGCGCGGAGATGGATATTGACACTGACGATGCTCCAACAACTAATGCTCTACCGCCTCGGCGGATGGACACTGCGATGCATGACTCCAGGGTGGTCGGAGTCAGCTAACACTATTCCCTTGATCTTGTATCAAGTATGATGTCTTTTTTCTTTCTTTCTATCCTGCATTCTCCTCTAGCCGATTCTTCAGCATTAAAATCACCGTTCATACTCGCAAGTTGGGTCGTACATATTGCCATCACCTTTCTTTCCAATCAAGCCACCAATCATGCATTCCCAAAGGCACCTCTGATATACTCTTATTTATTACCTCACTTTGCTTCATACCTTGGATTGGATTTCTGGTTTCTTCTCCTGCTCCTCCATTCCTCTGTGCAACGTTAAACCTCTCGTTTTTCTTTTCTGTTTACGCAAGCCTTTTCATCCTTGGGGTTTCAGTTTCTGGTTCGTTTCTTTTGTCTTTACATTGGGACTTGACGAATTCATACGGCAGGGGTTTTTTTTCTTTTTTTCCTTTTTTGTTCCTGGCTTTGATTTAGTGCTTTCCCGGTGGGCTGCTGTTCTCACTTGGTGTCTTCGGGAGTTGTTTCTCCCGCGGGGGGGTTTTTTCTTCTCGCAACCAAAAACAAGAAGTGTTTTAACCCAACTAAACTAAATCAACTCTCTCTTGGAACAAAAAAGCCGAACGAAGTCACATCTTTTATAAAAAGCTGCTCTGCATTCTTTAGCTTAATTTACGGTGAACACAGCATCTTGTTGTAATTGGTAATAATTTCCAAAAGAAGGTTTTGTCGCTTGCTACTTGTGCTAGATCCCTATCTCATTCCTTTCCTTCCCTTTTTTTTCCTTTCCTTCTTCCCTTTATATTCACTCTCTCCCTCTCTCCCACACCCCTTTTTCTCTACCACTCACCATCTCGCACCGCCGGTCGTTCACATGGGAGGGATGGAAATAGGTGGGATGGAACGGATGGACGGACAAGTCCGGGATTCTGGTCCGTTTGGTTTGGTTTGGTTTGGTTTAGCATGGTATTGGGGTTTTGGTTTTCGCACTTTGCATCCGCAAGCACAGAGACGCGACCTCACATTAATTTTCTCTCTCTCTCTCAACCTTTTTCTCTCTTGTCATCACAATACTGGTATAATAGTTCTTATCCCAATACGAGTACAATACAATGCGTACTAGCACAATCATAGAGTAACGAGCATTCCTGCCTTCCCTTCCTTTACGTGATAGGCTCGATCAATCGTGCGGCCGCGATATCCACAGCGGTATAGTCCAAGTGAGATGCTTCTCCCGCCAAACCGGTCGCTGAAACGCCCCTTCTCTTGTTTTGTTTTTCCCTGTCCCATTCGAACGGATACGGTAGTGTCCCTGATAGTATTGTAGGGAATTTTCTACGGGAAGGGGAGGGGGGGGACAGAAATGTGCCGAGTACAGATAAGCTTTCGGGAGAAGAGCTCCGGGGAGATGGCTGTGGAGCTTTTACCTATCATAGTGTGGGGGCTGGGGTATCGGAGGAGGGGTCATGGTGCGTCACTCGATCTGCGAGATTGTTGTGTGATTGGTTTGCGGGAAAGGGGAATGGAAGGGGGAGGGAAGGAGGGGCATCATAACTGAGTGCCTGTTTGGTATTAAGTTACGGGGGGGGGGCTTTGGTTGTGGATTGTGTGTGGTTCAGCTTGGATCATGATACCGGCTTTCTTACTGGACCGTCGAACCGGTAGAATTCCATGCCCCTTATTACCCGCGGTCGGGATATTTTCTGTTCGTATATTGGCGGGTTTTGTGGGTGAGGGTTGTTTGTCTGCACCATACTCGAGCATTGATTTGTTGGTTTCCCGTGCTGCGTTCTCATACCGTGTGGCGGAGGTTGTTGGGTGGGTTTCCCCATCGGGGTTATGTAGGGAGCTTTGCGCTCTGGAGAAATTCCAGGGCAGGGAGGATGAGGATGAGGATGAGGATGATGATGGTGATGGTGATGGTGATGTCTCCGCAGGGATATACATACCGGTACAGTACTTGGTGAAGACCTTGGGAGTTACAGTACGGTGCAGTACGGTGCAGTACGGTACAGTACTCGTACAGTATAAGTGTCGGACCCGGCACACAGGACCAGAACACGAGGGCGAAAATTTGTCCGTGCGCGTTTGGGCTCCCGCACCCTTACAGTACTCGTACTAAATTCAGACTTTTCCAATTGCCGAGTGCTTGTACTCGAGTACTCGTACCGGTACTGTATCGCAGGGATTAAACGGAAGATATTCAATGGGAGGTTTTGATAGCCATGGGTGGTGGATAAGTGTTTTGTGTTTTTCCCTCTTTCCTTCTTTCTCGTCGAGGGGGTTTCTCTTCTTCTCCCCCCCGGCCGTGGGATGGGATTTATGAGTGGGTCGGATGCTGCGGGTGAGGGGACTTTCTGTGCTACACGGCTTGTATCATAGATTACCGGTAGGTTGGGTTGAGGGGTGATCATTATGGCTGTCAATTGAATTGAGTCCCCCCCCCTGCAATATGCGGGCCTCTTCGACTCTCTTGTTATATCCTCCCCCCCTGCCCTCCTTTTATATTCTTTCCCTCAGCTTGTTAATTTATCTGTATGGCTCATATCATACTACCAATATCATTTTGGATCACTAGGATACCTCGTCCGGCATCTGGGATATTGCTCTTTTGGATAATTGGGAATTCTGTTGAGAGGGGATGTTGCCTCGCACTTGCGGGCTTCTCCTTTTTCTTCTTTTTTTTTTTGGTGTGGTGGGGAGGGAGCGTTTGGCACGGTAGAGTATGTAGAGATACACAATTTGAACGTGTTACTGTTAGTTGGTGAGACCACCGTGCGGCAATGATGACTTTTAACGTATCCTTATTGTGGGTTTAAATGTCAGCATGCTGCGTGACCTTTCACCATCCCCTCCCTCCCTCCTTCCCTCACTCACTCACTCACTCACCCGCTGGCCCACGCCCTGGATGTTGTGTAATCTATGGAAAATGGGGAAACGAAAAATGTGATCGGGAAATTCTAGTCCCGCTCTTTCCCGTCTTTCCATTCCTTTTCGGTGGATCCGGTAGGTGCTTCGCTCAGGACCCGAAGACTGAACCGGAGCACATCGGAGAAATATTAGCTGCTCCTGTCCGCACCACCGAGTCAGGTCGCTGGTATGGTCCCTACTGTGCTTGGTGCAAAATCCCCGTCGGATAAAGGCCTTCGGGAAGGTCAGATCTCGAGCTGGGGAATGGGGGTGGTGGGTTTTTAGAGTAGTGTGTGGGTCCCATAGTATAAGTACAGTATGTGGATATTACCAAACCTCTGGAGATCAGAAGACCAAAAGGTAGGAACCAATTTACTCTGTCACTCCCGCAAGAACCATGCCCGCCGGTGCCAGGTTCAACCCGTTGTTGACATTGCACTGTATCTGTTACGTGTGATGGAGCTTCCCTCGGCACGGAAATGATTGCACCCGTCCCTGTTCTCGTGGAGTGGCGGTTGGCTCTTCGCTCATCGGTTCACGGTGGTTCCGTCGGGCCGGATACTGCCTTCCTGTTGCGGGCTACGAGTACTTATTATATTATACTCGTACTGAAGAAGAAAAACCCCTCACCACGAGCGGGAATTGTGGAGAATTTTATCCACAATTTCGCCTTATCCATCCATCAACTGTGGCAATATTGTTAACGTCGACGAAGATGCGTTGCTAGGTATTGGGATGCCCAAGATTCCGGAGTTGTTATCGTTTTGAGTTTTTTTTAATTTTTTTTAATTGGCGCCCACTACTAATTTACCAACAGGGAATTTGCGCAGGGGTTTCACATCATATGATATCACTCGGAAATTCATCAGTGTGAAGCAACCATTCGGGGAGAATTTTTTTTTGCCAGAATTATACTGATAGGTAATTAGGATTGCCTTCTGTTTTTATTGTATCATATTTTCAAAAAAAAATCCTTTCATTCCCTTGTATTCTATCATACCCCCCCCCCCCCCCCTTCCCACCCGCTGGCCAAAGTTTAGTCACTAGGTACGGTATATGGTGTTGGTGTTCTGTTCTGGAAACACCCCCCGGGGTGAGAGCGATCTCCGATAGTGTATCGTGTCAGAATTTCCACTGCAATGAGGGTGTTTCAATTATGATCCTAACACTCTGGCTCTGTGTCTATATCCACAGGTCACTTCTAGTAGATTGAAGGCTTTGTTATATAGTCATCAAGATGCAATATTAGTCATAAATGCAAAGCCCTGAGACCATTGGAAATCATAAATAATCTCAAAGGATCACTAGGCAAGGGGGGGAGAGGGCGCGGAGTTATATATTTTCGAAAGCCACACTGAACTCCAGTTTCTATAAACACACTTTGGAGCGATCTGAGATGGTAACTCATTTCTGCCTTCCGAAATGGTGCTTATGCGGGGCAGGTATGATAGATCTGGGGGAAAGAAAGGCCTTCGAAAGCAGCCCGTGACGGGAGGAAATCAGATCGCTTTCGGGTGGATCTACTGTTGGTCGGTTTCCACCCTCGGGTGCGGTATCAACCCGGTGACCCAAATTTCCTTGTATCATAGGTAAGTGGAGGTAACTTGTTGTTCACGTACAGCCCTCCCGAGATTTCATTCATACATTGACGGGAAAACACCAGAGGCGGGAGACCACTTGGAGGGGGTGGTAGGGAGTTACAGCTCTCTTTGAGGTTAGTTCTGACTTATTATGTCCATTTGGACCGCTGCTTCGTTCTGTGCTCGGAATACATATTGACAAACCTGACTTGGTGGCGTCTTCCTCGTGCTGTCCTCCTCTCCCCCACCGTCCTGGGATATCACCTCATGGAATGGGCTGCTAGACGTGTTCCGGTTTCCTCACGGGCACTCGGTCTCCCGATCCGCTCCTTGGCGCCTGACCGTTGGACACATTCACGGAAAGAATCAAATATCACGCTGATACAGCTTAACGCCCCCATAGGACGGCGATAAAGGGCATGGGGGCATTAACTTAATACAGTAGACACTGAACAGGTCTAATCTACAATCCTTTGCGCTGCTGCGGGGAGAACATAGGAAGAAGGGGAGGCGTTTCCGAACCCAAAATGCGGCAGCCGGGGATGGATACGGACCTTCTTTTCCGCTGCGGGTGGAGCGAGGCCCTGGTGGAGAGAAGACTGGGAGGATTAATAGGGATCTTAACGTTGCAGGGGCTGAGCATGGCTTAGCACCGCTGATATGGAGCACTGTCAGATATCATACTCTTGAGGGTGGCAATCATACGTCTCAAATAGTAGGTCTCCCCCATGTCATGGCAGATAAAAATGGTCAACCACAACTCGTATTTGCTTCCGCAAATACGTATGAACGGTAGCAGAAGCTTCACTCCAATGAACGATATCAACCCCCCGTCTCCGGTACCACTCTGCCGGCTAGTCGCTGCCCCCAGGCTGGGGAATTGAGCTAGGATAAATGCTCCTGAAATAGAGGCACAAAATCTGATAGCGAGGATGAGTAGGGTCGAAGGCCACCCTAGGCAACCCTATAGTACTGGTGCGAACTAGGAGTCGAGATGCCTCTTGTCCAGAAAGGGTGCCCAATAGCGGCAGGGTCGGTATTCATACATGGAGGTCGACCGACCCAGCTACAAGGGATACCAAACATGGCCGAATAGTCCACCCAAGTTATTGGCGGTGATTGCAAGGCTATACTGAAACTGCGACTCGATGGGGGGGGGACTTGCCTCCCAACCAATGGATGGTTATGGATTAATAGAGCTCTTCTGGCTTGATCTGACCGGGCTTTCCCGAGCCATTCCAAATGAATCTGGATGTTATGATATCCATGGACAATCGATAATCCTTTCTACGCCGAGCAGGAAATCCCCAGAGCTGTATCTGTTTGCCGCTTTACTAGATTTACCCGGATATATCTACCTCTCCGATCCAGCATTCAGCTTCTATCATCTACGTTTTTTGATTCTTACCCTTGTTTTATGTCCACTAGGACCCTGCTGTCACAAGGCATAAATCATACAAAGAAGTGCAGCGGCAAAGGGATACTCTACATGCTCAAGTGTACGCACAGCGCAACACGCAAGATCCAGGATCCAGGAGCAAACGATGCGGTTACACCGTTAACCACGGAGAATTTTTAGACTATCATTCCTTCCTGCTTTTTTTTTTCTTCCTTCGCCCCTCTTTTGCTCTTACCTGTAGTCAATCTCTATTACTACAAATTACACGCAAAAAGGCCAGTGTAAGTAGAAATGCACTCGCAGCAGTCCGCGACCCACTCTCCCCCAACCACAGATACACAACACAATGGTAAAACACTACTATAATACTCAGGCAATGTGTCTCCGGAAAGGGAAAACCACACTGCTGCACGCTCGGGACTATCAGCTACCACTTCTGCAGGGTTGGCCAAGCGCGCGGGATGGGGCGGCAGTTATTATATATATCATGGCGTATCGCTTGTTTTTCAGCATTCCGAACTCCTCCAAGAATTTGATGTCATATTATACACCTTGCTGCAACCTCCGCTCACCGGTCATCACTCGACAGCATCTTTTCGGCCTGAGGGGACTATTGATGCGGTGAATTACGGTTATTAGCACTCCGCCTCCCAATGGTCGACCGCGCGGGAAGGTAAAGACACTATCTACCTATCGGGGCACGGCTCCGTATCTGAAAATTTGATAGCTCCCATCTGGATAAATTTACTTAAGGTTCACCTTTATTTTTATTTTTATTTTTTTTAAAAAAAAACACTTCATAGGTCAATTTGCATTATCATAACCTACAAAGCGAGAGGGATGGAAGGGGGGAAAGGCAAAAGAAAGAAAATAGACAAAATCCTCCAAACATGGCCGGGTTCGCAAAAAAAAAAAGGTCATCGTGGAGCAAGAAGTTTACC